TTCAAGTACAAAACCTACTATATTATAAAAAGTAATTAAAACGCGTAGAAGTAAATTATGGTAAATTAATACAGCGAAAGAATCGTAGTCTATTTTGTAACTGAGAGCTGCTTCACAGTATCTTATCGTTTAGTACGCGAAAAACACGATTGTTCTATCGTTTCACAAAGGATATGCGTTTCTTTTTCTCTACTCCGAGCGATAGATTTACGTTACAAATTATGAGCTGTGCGTTAGCGACATCCTTCGCATAGATATTAGTAATTCGGTGTATTAATCTCGCGATTAAAAATAATCATAACGATTACGTTATGTTGTGTATAATTTAAAAGTCGTCTAGTTCCAGCATCAATAGGTATATGTGCGCGCATGTAATTAAAATTATGTACATTGTATTTTATATGTAATTGAAATTTTATATATATATATATATATGTGTGTGTGTGTATATATATAAATTTTCAGATTTCAATGGTGCGATTATTAGGTGTACATAAGTATGTTACTTGTTATGAGAAGCCAAGTTCGAATTTCTTTGTAAGTTAATTACCTTTTGTTTGTAATATAACATATATTGTTTATCTATTTTCGGTCGTAGACTTTCCAAATCGCGAGGAGCGAATGATGAATACTAAGAAGAACAACGAAGTTACTTCGTTAATGCTGTTTATTTAAGACAGCACATAAGAATCATAATTATTCACTTGCCGCGGTATGATAGAGTCCGACCGTGTCGCTCGAATTAATTATAGTACAATTAGATGATAACGTTCATTAGAAATTTGTAGCGTTTATAACTGCGTTACATGTTGAAGTGATGTTGCAAGTGACAATTAAAATCATTTTCGAAGGGTAAGAATGTATTATAAACTTATTTAAATGAAGCCGTGACTAAGGATTGAGATTGAATTGAAATTTAACCAATCAAAGCAAAGTTCACTAAACTTGAGATAGGTTTCCTTTCTTCTGATTTATTAAATTCTAATCCAATCCCAATCTCAATCTCTAGTTTGACCATGCATGGCTTTATTTTAAGTTTCATTGGCGAAAAAGCAAATATATATCTTAATTTATTATACAAAACGCGAAAAGTGTTATTTTCATAATGGATTAAGATTCTTTTAGCTTGGACTTGTATAGTTTCCTGATTACAAATTATGTAATTGGATGCGGTCCACCATAAGTAGGTACTCCGTTTATAACTCTATTGAACGTTTATAACGTCAATAATATTAAGCAGTATAATAGCCGGATAAGCTATTCTATTTTATCTTGCGACATTATTAATGTGTCATTAATTAATGTGGCATTAACGCGCTACAGATTTTCGCTCTGTGAAAATTGAATTTAGAAAGTAAAAAACCACTTAGAAGAATTTTGATTATAAATTTTACAAAAATATTATCGGCTGCTTTGTGAAAATCTTTTTTCGTGAAAATCGAAAGAAAAGGACAAAAAAGTTGAACGATACCGTATCATCCTCGGCGGAATTAAAATCTATAGATAAAGAACAGGGCGAAAACATCTGGAGCACTGGGAGTACGAAGTGTACCGCATCCGTTGTGTAATCTGATAATATAATAGGATTCTACCTGAATGAAGATGCAAAATATACAGTGTGGGGTTCTTAACGTGCGCATAGAGTGAAGAAAGGCGAGCAATTTTAACAGTATACTGTCGGTTTTTAAGCAAATATCAAAGTTTAGAAATCTGTGATTAGGAAACCTGGTAAAAAAAAACAAACTGAATTATAAAATTTATGCACTCTCTACGGAAGCGGGGAAAGGGGTGTCCTAACAAAATTCCTGGGTACATATATATGTACGGATCTCCTATAAACAAAAGGGAAACCTTCTTTTTTTATATTGCGTTCAGCTGCGATTTCAAAGTATAAACAGACGTATTTTTGGCATTTGATATTTACTTTGTATTTTAGCTGATATTTTGTAATAAGAGAAGAGAGACATATGTGTACACAACATTAATGTAAGTTTACAAATTGTCGCGGGTGGCGTAACATCAGAGAGATAAAAAAGTGTACAGCTTGTGTTCGCCACCTGCATACACACAATGAGAACATGTAAATATTTTTGTAAGATAAATTTAAGTATATATATATATACATATATATACATTAATCTCTCTCTATCCTTCGAATTTTCATGAAATTCTATTGGAAATCCGAAGATCAAGCTACGATTGCTTTGCAGCTAAATCCATATGTTTATTGTCCGTTGTACAATTCTCCGCTCTAGTTGGTATTATATACATTTATATATACATATATATATATATCTGTATAATGACATTCTGACATAAAGAAGCAGGAGCAGCACGCGATCTTGTTATTAAAGCATCTGATAGTATAAAATAACTCGTTAGGATAATCGTTTCAATGTTGTAAATAAAAGCAGAGCGCATAGCGGTTATTATATTATATTATATTATATTATATTAATATTATATTATATTCGCATATATATATTCAATCTTTATATAATAGGCTGAGAATACACGATAATTTTTTTATTTGCAATTCACTGTTACATGTATGTGCCTAGTTATAGCCATGTTACAATTATTACCTATTACATTGTATGATAATTTAATCCATATTACCGATTATAATAAATGTAACAAGTTCTTCGATATCAAACTCTACACACGATATATTATTATGGCGTAACGTGTAAAGAGCTCATATTTAGGCATACGTGAAAAAAATTTAATAAATCGGAATACATTTTACTAGTCGAGTTGACTGATGGCCCTTATCGCCTTATCTTTATTGTGCGGTAAAACTCATGGTTTTTTTACACAATCAAGGCGACTATCGCTCCCACCCTAATACGCCTGAACAAATGAAATCGTGTTTATTATTGATTAAAAGTGAAAATTAGCATAGTAACCGACACGGTGATATTGATATCACTTGTTTACTGTCGCAGATAAAAGCTTATCTGTTTATTTTATTTTGATTCTTCACAATAAACAAACATTTACGTTATATATTACGATCTGCTATCTCCGAGAATGATTGCTGCAATTTCCAGCACTGTCTCTTGTTGAAAATTACATGCTTCTTTTACGTTATCGAAATTCGCTAATTGCGATATTGTGTAAATATCACATTTTTCTTGCATTTCAAAGAATTTTTACAGAGTGTTTAACAATTAATGGTTTCGAAACTATTATTTATTTATTCTCTTCGATAAAGCATCTCTTTCGATAGGCATGTAGAATTAATAGAGAATATAATTTGTAATACTATCTCTTGCTCAAAATTATGGGCTGTATAAAGCGTTTTGATGTTTATTATTATAATTTAGTAATTTACAATTTGCAACAAAATATACGAATATTGTGAATTTTCTTTTAAAGGACTCTTTGGGAGTATTCAACAATCATTTCAATCAACGCTAACTAAAAGTAACGTAATATCTATGTTATAATTTCGCATCAATATAACTGATGTTATGTAACACCATGCGTTATATTATATTTATATTGTAGATTTGATGCTACTTTTAGAGTTGGTCGACTAAAATGATTTTAAAAACTGGTCAAAGTTTATTCTCGCTAAAGCTCATTTCTACCAATGTAGATGAATTTTAATCTCGGATTAATTTATCTTTTTCCAACTCGTACCCGTTTCCACAAATGTAGATTAAATTTAATCTCGATTTAACTTACTCTTCATTTTTTTTAATTCTTAGAACTAGAAAAAGATAAAAAATTATAATGAATTCGGATAATCGCATTACACTAGATAAAAGCACATTAAAGGCTTCTTTATAGTATCTAAATATAATGACATAATTAACTTTGATAATAAAATAATATGTATATATTCTGCTAAATAATATGACAATCATTCTTAGGTATTTATTCATTTAAAATATATTCGTATGCTTTTACATTTAATATTGCTAATGTCATGTACAGCAATTTTTAGTGTGCACTAATATAATGCAAGTGACCAAAGTCGTTAACAGTTAAGACTGAATAGTCACCACAGCCATATTGAATCGTGACATCAGAAGCAAGAAATACGTTAATTTTTATTACATGCCATTTAAGTAATGCCAGCAAATGGTAAAAAGTGATAAGAGACATGTGTAAAATAAACTACGCATGCGCATTGAATAAAAGCACTTAATGTGCACTTTTTACGATTATTTATGAACTGACAGGGAAGGGGGATAAGCATAGTTTTCGTCCATTTTTACAAATGTTTTCAAGCAATCTCATTATTTTGTTTGATCTAAATTATCTTTATTTATAAATGGCACGTAATAAAAATTAACGTGTCATTTCTCGCTTCTGACTTCATGATTCAATATGGTTGCGATGACTACTACAGGAGCCTTAAACCAAGAATGAACTATCATTAGTAGAAACAGGCATTGGAATTAGAAGAAGATAAAAAGTAAATTATCGTTAAATTCTTTGAAGTGGAATTTCGCTTTAAAAAACGAAAATTAAGCTAGTCTTGAAAAAGAGTGGCTCAATTTTCAGTCTTTAAGAGTGAGATTTCACTCTTTAGAGTGAGAGTCTCTCTTAAAAATATTAGAAAGGAGATTAAAGTTATTTACATTGCTAAAAATAGATATATCGGAATGTTTTTGACATTATAGATACAAGAGGGACCAGTAGCAATATTCTCTAACGTCTTATCGAGGATTATCAGTATCGTTAACTAGCGATAACCAATAAGAGCTGCACTCCAGAATTATCCTTACCATTGCTTAACATTAGTTAACGATAGCGAGAATCGTCAATAAGATAGAAATTAGAGAATTCCGCTAACAGTCATTTCTAGTAAAAAAACAAACCGGAAATATTGTGTTAGATATTGTTGCAATTTTTTCGTAAATGCGTTCTTGTTCGCATGTTTTTGATGTTTAAAATTTTTCAGAAATTTGCATTTGAAATGGGGAAGAGAGAAAATTCGCAAAATTCGTTTTGCGTTTCTCGCTACTTCGACGATGATAGTGAGAAGCAGAAAGGATATCTTTAATCTTTATTGCAATGCACAACATGATAAAGTTACAAAATTAAGTGATACGAAGAGAAGATACCAGTACGTACAAGTGATGATATCAACGAAACTGCTGCTACAAAGCCTACCAGTAGATCAAGCGGAGAAAAATGGTTGAGTAATTTTTACAAGATTAATAAAAATATTCTGGCTATTTTTGCCGAAGTTATGACAAACTTTACTTGCCTGAAAGTATATTATAATTGCAGTAAATCTATTCAAGTGATTATTATTTTACAGTAAAATAAACCTATTCTCAAGACTATGTAAGCACAAGCAGCTCTCAAAACTTTATACATCCTTTATTAAAATAAAGTAAATTTTGTCAATGATAAGATAAAAAATACTCGTCGATGAAGTAAATTCTATTGAGATGCTTTTTAATTGAAATTTTAAAATTAAAGTAAATTCTATATAAATATAGGCACCTGTCTCTATTCTCTAAATTCTTTGGAATAGAATTTCACTCTGAAAAGTTAAAATTGAGTCAGTCTTGAAAAATAGTTCAATTTTCAATCTTTAAAGATAAAGATTACACTCTTCAGAATGAGATTCATTTTCTGAGGCTGTGATCGAAAACATTACTCGAGTACTTTTGAGTATTCTTGTTGTTCATTGAATGTTAAACAAGGATAAAATGGTAGTGTTCCCTAGGGTAGTGTTCCCCTGAACGTAGTCTAACAATTTTAGAGAATATAATGACCTGTCAATTTCATGAAATTTACACTCTACATTTTTGGTAGTAAAATTCACTCCAAGAAAAATGATAGTTGCGTCAGTCCGGCAACGAGTGAACTTTACTCCTTCAGGAGAGAATTTCTTAACTTTTTTTTTTTTTTTAATCGACTTTAACCCCTTGAGTGTCAGTGACGCACATATGCGCAGAAAAAAGTCGTGCCATTTTCGTCTCATGACGCATATGTGCGCATTTGAAAAAAAACATGTTTATACTTCATCGATTCGACTGTAATTTGTTAAATCATGGTTTTTGAGGTCGCTGAATCCAAATTTGAAATCGGATTTTCAAAATTCAAAATGGCGGATCCAATATGGCGGACGCAAGTTCGAAAAATGGTTTGGTTTCTACAAAAATTTGTATCTCTAGATGTTCGTGATCGCGAATTTAGAATTTGAGTCTTGACTCTAAGTATCTGAAACTCGGATACATTATGACGAATAAAAATTCAGCAAACCATTCATGACAAATTATCCATCGTAAAAAATGTAAAAGAATTTTTTTTTGTTTTTATATCCCCCTCTCTGCCGAACCCAGAGTCACGAATCGAGGACGTGGCGGTTGTTGACTGCGTTTTTTTTACTTTTTATATTTTTTTGGTGCTTTTGGTGTTTTTAAATTTTTTATTATTTTATTGTTGACTCCGTTTTTTTTACTTTTTGTATTTTTTTTATTTTTTTGGTGCTTTTGGCGTTTTTATTTTTTTTATTATTTTTATTTCCATAATGATTTTATTCTTTTTTTGTTTTTTGTTTTTTGAAAATCCGATTTCAGATTCGGATTCAGCGACCTCCAAAACCATAACACTAAAATTATAGGATAAATCAATGAAAATTTTTTTCCAAGATAAAAATGGCACGAAAAGCTGATTTTCGCCTGACAGCTAAGGGGTTAATGATTATAATATCTCGCTTCGCAAGACAGAGCGGCGCTTTTTTCTGCCATAATATCGTTCGTTTTGTGCAAAAACACGTCGAATGAGTCTAATAATTTTTAGATTAGATATAGGGAGGCTAAACTTAACATTTATCAAAGTGAAATTTCAGTCTCTCTCTTCGGAGAGTGAAATTATTCACATAGATTAAAAATTGACTCCCATTTGGAGTGATCTTCATTCTCTATAAGAGTGAAAATTTCACTCCAGTCGGACTAGAGTTCTAGATTTACAAATAGAGCTCTAGATTTGTAAAGCTCTATGTCGGACTGATGCAACTATCACTCTTTGGGGGTGAAATTTCCCAAAAATTTAGAATATACTGAAATTCTAGTGCGTACTTAACATTTTTCTCCAGAATCGGATGAAAGGGAAGGTGGTAGAAGAAGCGAGCGGAGCAAGAGCGATATCACCTCGCCGCGTCGCGTCGCGTGGTGTCGCGTCACCACGCGTCGTGATTTCAAACGGCGGACCGGCGCGCGGCGCGGCGCGGCGCTTCTCCGACATGCAGTCCGACGTGGCGGACGCGGCGTCGTGCCGCGCGCATGGGAGCCTGTTACTAACCGCGCTATTCGATTCGAGCGCGTCGCTGTGACGTCAACGCCGGTAACCGGCGGCAATTGGGCGAGCCGTGGCCGCGGTGTGGTCGCGCGCGGCGGCGGCATTCAGCGGCATTCCGGCCGCGACGGTACGCCGGAGACTTTGCTTGGAGCTGTTTCGACGCCGCTCACCGCTGTCTGCTTGTGACAGTCGATCGCTGACGGTAGGTGTCTGGACGCTAGGCGCGCACCTTATCGGCGTACGGACGGACGATCAGGCGTTAGGAAGCGTACCACTGATTACAAGGGTAAGAACAAGAAGCACAAGCGGTGATAAGGCAACAAGCGAACGGACTACCTCGAAACGATGTCGCAGACCGAATTGGACGAAACAGCTGTGGAGAATTTCCGCGAGTACCTGCGGATACCGTCGGTGCAGCCGGACGTCAACTACGGTGAGCGATCACGGGGAGGGCCATGTGTAATTTGGGATTCCATAAGATTTTCGAAAAATTGGTGAAACGCGGCGAACGAGAGCGTGGGGGAGGAGAGAGATCTGCGACGCGCGCGTCTAAAAGCGTCCAGCGGCGAAAGCGGATTAGTTCGCGTCGCGTCCAGCGTCTAAGTTGGTCTAAGTCGAGATTGTAAATTCAGAAGAAAACGTGTAGATGGGAGAAAGCGCGAGACTTGTGCGTGTCCTGTGTAAAAAAAAAAAAAAGTAGGAAAAAGCGGGACCCACGCCGACCGGCCACGTTCGCGAACGGGGTCGCGAAGCACGCCGCTCAACGACGCGTTTCCTCGTTAGGTAAATTGCGCGATTCACCGACGACGAGGGGGAGTTCCTCGTGATCGGCGTCGCTTGTCCGCCCGTGGGAATCGGCCGACGCGCTCCCGTGACGCCGGCGACAGGCGAGGACGTTCGCGAGGTGACGAATTGGGGGGATAGCGTCGGTGACGCTATCCAGCCATTGCGTTGCCCCACCCTACGCGTGCGATGTTATTTCTATTTTTATTCCCCTACGTCCGGTCGCGGCGTCTCGCCGATCTCGCCGAGCTGTCCCGCGATGTCCCCGGAACCGGTCCCGGGCGTCCTCCCGCTGATCGGAGCGCGACGACCACGGCGACGTCGTGGCGACTCAATGGGCGCCGCGGCGTGACCCAGATTGGGCACACGGCCCGGCACTTTGCGTTCCCGTCGTCATTCCCGAAACGATCCTGCCGGTTCGACGAGCAGAGGCTGTCCCGAATCGCGAATCGACGACCGGTGAAAATGTGGAAGCTAGTTATGTAACTCGGTCGACGGGATTTCGCGTTCCTTGAATCTATACGGTATAGCGGCCTGGCTTGTGGAGGTGTCGCGACGCATTTACGGCTCGTTATATTTCTTGATAACGCACATGGTTGAGAAATAACAGATCATCTGACCTCGTGATGGAATAGATAAGAGACTGCAATTGATAATAGAGCCAATTACCATCCCTCAGCAAGTGCCTCGTCTCTTATCGCGATTATCACACGATTGCCTGGTACCTCCAAAGGAATTAATTTCCGCGATACGAGTTATTATTATTGTTATGTGACACTGTCGTGTCGTTTTACTTTATTATTTAATAACAGGGAAAATTACTTTAGAAAATATTGAACTTGAATAACAACATTTAAGTTTTGTTATGTTAGCTCAATGTTTTAGATATGTTCTCTTATTTATAAACAGACTGATTAGAACCTAAATTAAGTAAAATTGATACACCGATTAGCTTACAAATTTTAGACATAGTAAGATATTATTTTATTTTATTTACAGTTAAAATTTAAGTCCTGTTCTCTCAATAACGTTTTAGATTTCTTATTTATAAATAAACTGAATTCGAGCCTAAATTATATGGAATTGCTACACCGATTACTGCCGAAATTAACTTGCAAATTTTAAACATAGTAAGAAATTATTTAGTTTAACTTACAATTAATTTTACAAAAGCTCTTTAAATTCTGATAACTGAATTAGAATTAGATAAAAGTATAGAATAAAATTTTATTACACTTCAGTATACACAGTGAAGAAGGGGTTTACATATAGAACTTTAATCTATTCACTTATCCATATCTCATGCTGTGTGTGTGCTACATACCCCCTTTTCTTGCTACTTCTTGCTACCTAAAGCATTTATTATAGTTTTACTCTATATATCCTTTACATTCTTTCCTTCATAACTTTTTAGCTTCTTGTTCTATATCTAATTCTAATACTATAAACTAAATTTAATATCTAGACCACAGCCCTAACCACAACCTATAATCATCACCTGCTTATTATACTCGCACACTTTTATTTCCTTTGAACCCTACTCTACCCACTATTATTACCTCTTTCCGCTGATCGCACCTCTCTTTTGATTCATCTTTTCATTATATTTACCTTTCCTTTCCAGATATTATATCCCTTCTCTTTTCTTTTCATGAATTAGATAAAAATTTCCATATAAAATCTCATACCTAATATAATCTAATTTATTGTGTTTTTCATTTCAGATGAATGCGTGGAATTCATAACTAGACAAGCACAGTCTCTCGACTTACCAGTTAAAATTTATCACGTACATCCTAAAAAACCGATTGTGGTTTTAACATGGGTGGGAACAGATCCTACGAAGCAGTCAATTCTCTTGAACAGTCATATGGACGTTGTACCTGTTTTCGAAGTAAGTATTTTGGTTTACAGTAAAGATACTGTGAATGTATATTATTGCATTAAGAAAAATATCTGCTTGAAAATGGATGAATTGGATAGAAGATTCTGAATTTGATAAAAGATTCTGGTTATATCAATCAGAGTTCCAGTTATTTCAACTAGACTTCTAGTAGATTTAGACTTTAGACGAACTAGAAAGTTCTGATTCGTCTATTCTCAATCAGAATTTCAGTTAATCCAATCAGACATTTTTCTCAGGGCTGTGTTCAGATTCTCACCCGAGTGTCAAGTATTACTCCACCTTGTTGTTTACCGAAAGTTTGTTTTTTATTGCTGCACTCTGAATCGATGTAATAAGTTGAAGTGAAACAAACGTATAATTGTTTCATTTCAACTTATTGTACTGTGTATACCAGTTCAGAAAGTACAGCAATAAAAAACAGACATCATATGTTAAACAAGGATGACATAACATCCGGCCCACACAGCACACTTTATTCGAGGGACGTTCTGACATCCCAAAGAACATCCTTAGGATATAAAGATATCCTTTGAATGTTTTTTGGGACGCCTTTTTAGAAATCTGTGCTGTATGGGGGGAGCACCTGGGAATCCGAACACGCCCTAGTATGTATGTAATTATTGTTTCACACAATAATTACATTGATCAACTTGTTGATTCTCAATACTAATTATATAACTGATCTAGGACAAATGGACCTATCCGCCATTCAGCGCACACATGGACGAGCAAGGCGACATCTATGCTCGCGGCAGTCAAGACATGAAATGCGTGGCAATACAATATTTGGAGGCGATCCGTAGACTGAAACTGAACGGACAACGTTTCCAACGCACTATCCACATCTCTTTCGTCCCGGACGAGGAGATCGGCGGTGTTCTCGGAATGAAAGCCTTTGTGCACACTGCAGACTTCAAAGCTCTGAACGTCGGTTTTGCGCTGGATGAAGGTGTGGCTGGCATAAACGAGAGCTTTTACATGTTTTACGGAGAAAGATCGATTTGGCATGTCGAAATCAAGTGCGCGGGCAATCCCGGTCACGGATCCATCATGTTAGACAATACGGCTGGGGAAAAATTAAGAGTTATAATCGATCGTTTCACAGACTTCAGAGCCTCCGAAAAAGCAAAATTAAGTACAGATCTTTCACAATTAGGAGTTACTCTTGGCGGAGTGACATCTGTAAATCTTACGAAAATTTGGGTAGGTATCATGCAAATATACCATTTTCGTTAAAAAACCATCTAAAAGATATAATTTATAAGAGCATTTATATTTAAAAATCATTGAGTTATTGTCATTTTTTTCATTTAGATGAATTCATGAATAAGAATATAAAATATTAAATAAGATTCTATGCTGAAAATTAAACAAAGTTTCCAAAAGCTCAATAAAATACAAATTTAAAAATAGAGTATCTATACAAAGGCAATTGAGCACTATGACAGTGCAACAAACTGTTTTTTAATTTACAATTTAAATTACATTTATTCCAAATGTTTTGATTCTCACAAAACTATTCTCAGTGGACATAATTTACTAATACATATTAATAACCAGTCTTGTCTTCATTCAGCAGTTGAAATGCTACTTAATTATTGTGATTATTGCTTAATTATTGTGACTGTTGATCATATAATTCAAAGTGGTAATCCATGGACATGGTAATACTGAGGGCCAACAAATTTCTTTATGTTATAGAAACAGGAACTTGAAATTGTGTGTGACATTCTATTTAGAAATTGACAGATCGACAGAAACATTGAGACATTTCCAAATAGAATGTCACACAATTTCAAATTTATGTTTCTCTAATATAAAAAAACTTGTTGACACTTACGATTAGTACTACAATGTCCATGGATTACCATTCCGAGTTACATAATCAGAATAGAAATCGTAATAATTAAGCAGCGTTTTAATTGACGAATGAAGATAAGACCGGTTATTAATATGTATTAGTAAAGTAAGTTATATGTCCATTGAATATGGTTTTGTGAGAACCGAAATGATAGATGTAATTTAAATTATAAATTAAAAAACATTTTGTTGCACTGTCATAGTGCTCATTGCCTTTATAGATACTCTATTTTTAGTATGCTCATTGTATAAACACTATTCTATACTGAATTCAATGAATGCTAATAAATATTTAAAAGAGGAAATCTTAAAGAAAGTAAATAAATTAATTGGTTTTAATTTTTAAGTCATTACATGATACTTGTTTATTTTATATGTCTGTTCATTGGGATTTTTATATTCCACAGTAAGTATTCTAATGTTCTAATAAGTCTTGCAATTAACATTGATCATAATATACAACTTTTTACTTCATTAATTCTTGCCTTAATTGCGTTAAGATTTTATTTTACTATTCTTGGTTTTCATCAAACTCCTTATCCATTTATTTGAAATTTTACGATTTTAGCCTATTAAATGTTTTTATTTATAGGGTGGCGTACAAACTAACGTTATACCTACCGAACTCAGCGCTATGTTCGATATTCGTATAACGCCTTCTGTTGATCACGAGGAATTCGAAGCTACTATCAAACGCTGGTGCGAAGAAGCTGGTCCAGATGTAACTTATTCCTTCGAAGAGAAAAATCCCAAAGTTGAAAACACCAAACTAGATGAGTCTAATCCATACTGGATCGCTTTCAAAAATACCTGCGATGAAATTGGTATTAATGTGGAAACCGCTATCTTCCCGGGAGGTACAGACGGCCGTTTTGTGCGAGGGGTAAGCATCAGACTGGTCTTTGTACGAAAATTTAACATTTAAGTACACAGAAGAGGAGATATGTATTATTGTTATTTTATTATAATTATTACAAAGTATGCGAAATTTATTTGTAAAACATACAGCATCACGCTTTGTTTTATACATTTGTTCCAGAAACTTTAGTTCATTTAGACACACATTTACAAAATAAATTATATATATATATAAATTTTGGCTAAAAATAGCAATTTATTATCAATAGTTTCACATTAGAATATAAGAAATGTGATTTTCATTAAAACTAGAAACATTGTGCTATATAATAAGTTCAGTATCGCATTTAAATTATAATATTCATGTTAATTATAAAAAATATAGATTATTATACACGCGTTATAATTTTTAATATATTACATTATATATTATTATACATTTCATATATAAAATATAACTTTGGCTATATTTACTTTTCAGATGGGCATTCCTGTTTTTTGCTTCTCACCGATGAACAACACAAAGATACGTCTTCACGATCACGATGAATATCTAAACAAAGATATTTTCCTGAAGGGAATAGAGATATATGCTAAAATAATACCGTCTGTTGCAAATGTTTAAACGAATATGGCATACATTATGCATCAGATTTTAAAAGTGCCATAGTCGAATGTTTAGAGCTACTGATAGCTGAATTCGACCATCCTACCAATGATAAGTGTATTAATCAGAATCTCTTGAGTTTAAGAGATCGCAATTAATGTGCAATGAAATCCTAAGTCAATATATATTTCTATATTATATTTCTATATATTGTTATGCTATTTTAAATTTTTATTATTGTTGGGTAGAGTTGAAAAATATACACATTCAAATGAAAAATAATGTAATACGAGAAAAGCAGAACGAAGTGAATATCTTTGAAGAAAGGATGAGTGACAGCTCAATTTAAAAATGAGGTTTCAAGGAAATTTCAAATACAGAAGATTAATGGAATGTAACGTGAATCACAATGAACACATCAAGGAAACGATATAGAATTTAGTAAATTGTGAACACCAAGAAATCGAACATACAAGATTTTTATGTCTGAAGAATACAAGGAAACAATGGTGCTATAAATGGGGCCAAAAAACAGTGTGCTCAAATTAGAGAAACTTCTAAATATTATTTCCACTTGAAGTACTTGCAGAAAATATCCTACTCACATAAAGTATATATACAAATGTTTTATATCGAAGAAAAAATATTTTTGTAAGGCTGACAGCATCTAGAAGCGTGCATTTTGGTGATGGAGAGTCAAGATCGAGGCATCGAGGAAAACAAAGTAATCAAAATGTTTTGTAATACATATATTTTAAAGAAGTAAGTCAGAGCGATGTATTAACGTGATCAATGTTACGAATAAAGTAAAGGAGAGAAATGTATGTACAAAGAAATAATTCGCATAAGAGACCGTCTATTGATTTTGGAGGTAAAAGACCTAGGATGTTTTATCGAAGGAAATAGCGGCGAGAGAGAG